CATTTCCTTACTGTTTATATTTATTTGGTGAGAAACGTCTCTTTATGTCCTTCTCTCCATATTACTGAGTGGTCTGATGTAATAATTGTTTTTATTACATTAAGAGTCTTTCAGATGTGGGCTATGTAAATCCTTAATGCCCTGGAGGAAAAGTTAGGTTTTTGAAGTGTGGTAGTTAAACCACTACAGTTTCTAGACTCCTCCTTTCTATGCCATACATCTAGAACCAGTTCAATAAAGCGTAAGATCAAAGTGGATGTTGTAACATTTCACGCGATCCTTCAAAACTACAGCAGTAATTCCCAATCCAAGCTCTGGAGATTCCATGCTCTTATACGTTGCATGGTTTCTCTGATCTAATGGCCATATTTCATGAATGGCCTGGAAATTAACTGATTGAGTTGAATCAGGTGTTGGAAAAGGTGGACAAAGATGAGTCCACCTGCTCCCAACTTTCTGGACTCTTTTGATCGATGATGAAGGCCTTAGGTATTTTTTCTTTTTAGGTGCATTTTCTTTACTAAAGATCTCTTGAAGGATCTTTTTTAAGATTGTAGTTTTAAGATTGTAGTTTTGGAAATGGTTCTCTATAGCACCAAAAGTGGTTCTTCTAATGTTACAGGCTTGACACCGTAACAATAGCATAACCCTTTTTAAATGCCATTTTCAAAAAGGTTCTATTCAGAACCATATACAACACATTCCCCATCAATCTGAAGAACCATTTCACCATACAAAAAACACTTAAGCATATAAAACTCATGAATAGAACTCTAAATAGAACCATTGCTTTTGCTAAAGAACCCTTGAAGAACCATGTTTTTTAAGAGTGTATTATTCACTATCCTCTTAAACAACATTTCCAGGTCCTCCAGGTTTAGTGTTTCATTTTCTCTGTTGAATACAGGTTCCCTTTCACCACAGATTTCACCATCAGTGGAGAACATAATAAAGAGATCTTGTAACTGCAGTGCATATCCATCACTAGCTCATTAGCCAGTGCCTAAGACTAGATTAGTGGTCATCTGTTTCTCTTATGAAACTGAGAGATTTTGTTATGTTTCAGCTGCAGTTGAGCAGATAAGCAGGGTCATGTCTAAACTTGTTAAATGTGAAATGAAATACTACAATTTTTAAAAATGACTTCCTCTCAGCTTCCACACTCCCACACTTGGAGAAGTGAAACTGTCACTTTTGGACTACATTAATATGACGAAAATGTATTTAAGTGTAAGTTCTACTCAGCTGTCTCAGAAATCATTACACTTGGATGGACATGTTGTAGCAGTGGGCAAACAGTTGTAATTAAAATGTAAATTAAAATGTAAACAGTATCTAAAGAAGTTAATCAGGTTGTCTTATTTCATGTCAGATATCCAAATTCATCCATAGGATCCACAGAAGTTAACTGTCTTTTTTCATGTCAGCTAGCTAAATTCTCTCTCCATAGAATAACCACTTCCTCTCCAGCATTTTCGTCACAGCAGTATACCGGTTGAAATTTTCAAGGTCTGAACTTTGCCGTTACCTTTATACCGGCATATAAATACGCAGCGTTATGGGCGTCACTAGGCCAGTTTTAGGGGGGACTTTGGCAGCCCCGCCGTGATTTTAGCCCTCTCTTCCCATGTAAGTGTAGGCTACTATTCCAAATCATCTATATTCTCATTCACAATATACTGTAATAGCAGGGCTGCCCTAGTGCAGCGCTGCCTCTGTTGTACTACCAGAAACTGACTAACGTAACGTTCAGCCAATCATATCAGAGCTCGTGAGTTGTAAGCCAATCATATCAGACCTGGGGGAGGGCCTTTGGTTTTGCATTGCAAAGTAACTTATAACCGCTGAAGCCGAGAACAGGATTTTGGGTAAAAGCTCACTAAAATAAACATTAGACATTATTCAAAATCTAGCTATAATGTACACAGTGAAATAGTAACTGGTTACAGAGTGAATATATCCAGCTACAGTATGGACTTGAGGCAAATTATGGTCAGTATAGCTGGATATCCGTTTTTTTACTCGGTTGCTTGTTAGCTAGTTAGCTAACTAGTTAACAAGCGTTAGGTTAGTTAACCTTGGGTTTACGGCAAAGAAAACAGGCTAGGCTAACACTAGCATTGGCTAACTAGCTGACAAGCCAGCGAGCTTAATCTCACTTCATAGTGAGTGTGAAAGAAAACGAGCAAGAGAGATAGAAAAAATGTTGCTGAGAGCTCTTTATATTCTTTGTTTTTAGATTTCTATTCAGCATTTGGAACTAATGACACCAGCATTTGTCATTTATTGTTCACAGTAAGTTAATGTCAATGAAAATAGTGAATTTGGCTCGGATTCCTGTTCGAGTTTTCTTGTTCTGTGCTGCCAGAATGTAGCTGCTGCAGCATTTAAGGTGGAACGGAAAATTAGAACAAGAAGGTGAAGAGAGCTTTGTGTGTGAAAAGGGTCATATCGTGTTGATCAAAACGCACTTTTATATCCTTCAATTGCTCAGCCTGTAGATGTAGCTACGTTAAGAGGCGACAGCTCTGTCGAAGGCCAGTCAGAGGAGAGAAGTTATACTTGTTTAAACAAAAATAAATTGATTGATCATTATTTACTTGAGTTCTTGTAAATCTAATTTTAATAAAATAATGTATTCCTAAACACAGGCGGAGAGGGAGAGAAAGAAGCTGAAGGAGACTGACAGGACTGAAGGAGCAGATCTGATGGAGGTTAGTGATGAAGAAAGTGAAGGAGAGTTGTATAGGCTTTCAGTTAAAATTAATGTCACATTTAATTAAACTTAAGTGGGAAACAGAGCAAAATCACACTCTTTCTGCACCAACTGAGAGTGAACTGCACTAACTTAGGGTGAACTGATCTATAATCTGTGTATAATATATTTAGGACTTTGCAGTTTATCCAACAGAGATGAGATAGTGTTGCTTGACTTCAGTACCTTAGTTTGATCTGTGCCTGTTGAAAGTGGATGGATAAAGTGTTTGTCATGTTTGAGCTCTGTGCTTAATACAAACTACAAAGAGGCAGATCTGCTATGTGCCAGTTTGACCAAGTAGACATTTTTTGATACATTTTCTGGCTGTTCCTACTCTAGAAGTTCATGATGAACATTTTGCGCAGCATACATACAGTGCAAAACAGCCTACTCAGATCACCTCCTATGTGATGAGTTGCAGTCTGGGGTAAGTTAGTCCAGTTTGCTGTTGGAAGAGCAGACATCAGACTGTAATGAGTTGAAGAGTGATGTGGCAAAAGAGAGTGGAAAGAAAAGTTGGTCTCTTGGGGTTCGCCGTAAGCCGTTAGCCTAGCATGGAGACCAGCCAGGTTTCCACATAGGACGCCCCCACTTGGCCAGCTGCTTTAGGCGATGCCACGGCCTCGGGCTACAAGCCGAGATGCTCCACAGCTCCTCAGCTAACACTGATAGCGCCTGTGGCTTGTAATATTTGCCAAATTCCAGCAGTGTCTGATAGTCATAAATGAAAGGTTGTGTGTAAGAGATGCACGTATGAGACAAATGACTTGAGAAATTCGAATGTAGAACAACAGAGAAGCACTTTATCTCGTTACGGTAAGAAAACAGTACTGACAGCTGTCTATATAAAGTTCATCTGTCTTTACAGTTTTGCCCCTACAGAAACATTTTTGATTTACTTCAGTTGTAAAATATGGTTCTTATTGAAACTGCAGGGGCATCTCAGAATAATATGGCACTGTTAAACAAAAATAGGTCTACTTAAGCATCCAGAATGGTTTTATTTGTTACAAATATTCATAAATACACTATACCGAATATATATAGTGAAAATGTCAAAAATCTTAATTATACAGTAATCAAAATTGTTGGCCATAACACCCACTTCTAATGTGTTGTTTGTATTTCAATCTCCAAACAAACAAATAAAAACCAAAACAAAACAACATTCTCAGTTGGGGACCAACAGTTGCACCAAATAACATCATGAGAGCTGCACAGTACAGCTCTCATGATGTTATTTGGTGCTAAAGCACAGCAGGATTTCAGGGGTTCAAAAAGAGGAAGCTTTGCAGCTGTGAAGGCTTCTTTTTTTTGTGCAGGAGAGGGGGGTAATTGTGCTGTTTTGCATACCAAGATTAAGCCACCAACCCCCCAAACACATGAAGACGAGGCCGGTAGATAGTCTTATATTTCCAGCGAATATAAGGTCTTACAAATGATAAGCTCATTACTGTACATTGTACACTGTTTTATTATAATACGACAATAAAACACTGTACACCAAAGAGTCTGTCAAAATCCTTCAAACCGAAGAAGCACTTCCACAATTTCCCTTAGTTAATAATTACTCCTAAACAGAAAACAGGAGCACCCTGGCCATCTGGACGCTGTAAAAATAACATATAAAGTAGCTACTATAGGCTAAAAAACTGTTTTGATGGTATGTGAATCTGATTCACAAAACCACCAGTGCATTTTGTGAAGATGCATCACATCAGGGTTTAAAATGGAAATGTACATGCAAAAGATAAACCCGCCAAGGTCCATCAGTGCCCTATCTTTACGATGTCTGACCACATAGCCTGCAGGACCAGCATGAAAATGAAAGCCAAGAGCAGAGGAAACATAATGATATTTTCATTTACATAATGGACAGTATCTGCTTTAGTCTGATTCCCTGACATTCAATCACTTAAATCTCTACCTTAATCAAAACTACACATGCATCAAGTAAGACTGCATTATTTTAGCCAAGATTTGCTAATGAAAGATAAGATTCTCAAGCTTTTCCAGCAATATCAATATAGCATAGTTTTAATAATAACAGACCATTTCTCAGTAGGATCCTGAGGACTGCTCGCATTGATTGGTGTTGAGTTTAGTCTTAAGTTCAAATGTATTTTGCTAAGGAGAAACTTACCAATTTTATCAGACTTATTTGCTTTAGAAGTGTCTAAAATCTATTTGGAAATTGCACAATATTTAAGGGTCATAATGAGAAAGCAGAAACTGTACTTACATTTTCCCATGTGCATAGACTGATTTGTAATAATTAGGTGTAGATTTGAGCATGCAGACTTTTCTAAAAGAAAAAAATGTCCCAGTTCGCCTCAGAAATGTACATCGATTGCTTGAGTGAGCTGCCTTATAAAAGCAACAGCAATGCAGTTTCAAGTGATGTCACCAAGATGCAGAACTACCAGTTTCCCGCTTCATTTAAATGTCACTTGTTGGCTTTTTGAGTGCTTGGGTTTTTGGCTTAACGTTACACATATGACAGGGAACTAAATACACTTCTCAAGTCCAATGATTTCAGAGAAGATCACTGCAGGAACATGTTTATGGGCATCTTCTGGATGTAGAATAAAATTAACAACAACTCAAAGTAACTTTGGTTATTTGATTCATTGTGCTTCAAGAATAGACAGTAATATTACATCATGGCATTCAAGCATTAGGAGATTTGAATTGTACACCATCTAGACCAAGCTTTAGACCAAGCATATCAGAATAAGCCATATATCTGCTGAGGAGGAGTGAGGGCAGTAGTAAAGCTGGGAAGCCCCATGATTGTTGGCGCCACTGGAGCAAGTCCCAGCTGCATTATACTGACAGGACACGTGTTAGACTGTTGTAGCACTATCAAACCGATATCAAACTAAATAAACATCGATACATACATCAGTGTCAGACTGTCAAAGTACTGGACCATGTCTGCTTCTAAAAAGCACAGATCCATCTGCGTCAAAGTACTGATCCTAGTATAAAAGCCCCCGTCCATCTGCGTCATCTGATAACTGTCAGTGTAGGGGTGCCTGACCTTAGTCTTTTCGTCTGGATTGCAAACTTGCATAACAAGCTCTGAATTGCAGCTCACCACTCTAAGCCAATTTTAAACAAGATTCGTAAGATTTCTACCAAAACAATGATCTAGAAATGTATGTGGTGATACTCTCAGGCCTTGATTAACTTGAAATGTGTTCCCTTTTCTATTTCTGCAAGAACATTTTTGAGAACATATCTTTTTGGGGGGTGAAGAAGCTCGATTCCGTAGCCTAAATGACATCTGTGAGAGTTTTCGGACCCAGCCGAAACTGCCACGCAAGTCAGTTCATCAGTGTCGAAAAGGAAGCACCTGCTCACATTTTGAGGTTCATTGACCATCCGAGCACTTCAATTCTGCTCGCTTCCTTTCTCAGCAATTTTCACTGTTAATTTAGCAGCGATAAACAGGACACTGTTTAAGAAGAGCAAAATAATAGTCAGTGCGAAGACATTATCAATACAATGCACCATAAGCACCTTTAGCAGACCATTTATGCTAAGCACTTTAAACAGAACTTAAATATCACAGAGTTGATGTCAAAAGTGATCATAGTTGTTTCCATGGCAGCAAATTCACTCACCTGACAATAGTTAGCCTGACCAAATGCCCAGCAGAAAAACACAAGAAAGGCAAGGAATGCAAGACTTACTGTAATCTATCAGTGCATGAAAAACAGCCCTTTTCCACCCAGCACTCACATCAAATGCACTACAGTACTAAACAACTGATGCATTTGAACATTGTCTAATGCAAACTACAGTGGAGGCCTGATGCAAAGAGGCAATTTTCATAGGCCTCAGTGAACACGGGCCCAAGCAGTTCAACAAAGTGCAGTGCTATCTTGTCATGGTGCTATGAGCAATATTGTGCTTTATACAGCAGTGTTTGTTTTTCAATATCTGTTCTGTGGTGGTGGGCTGTCAGTTAACGGGCAGCAGTAAGGTCAAACACTCAGTGACCCACACTCGACCTTCTGACCTCATCAGGAATTGTACGTCATTATAAAACTATTACTTTCCCCCAGAGCACCGAAACGTCAAGAACAGAAAGGGAGAGTTCCTATAGCCACAAGCACTCGCTCGTAGGTGACCTCCATGCGGGAACATTGCTCTTACTGCCAGGAGTGTGCGCTGAGAGCATGGATTCCACATTCCACAGCCCGGAGCTGCATCTGATCTTGTTCTGGCAGTGCTAAGTGGCTAAGGGAAACACAGGTTTAGGTGTAGGTAATATATGGCCTTAAAAGATTAGAAGGAGATTAAGAAGTGAAAGCCCCCTTTAGGGTACTCGGGGAGACGATTGTTGTTTGTGTCCCTTCACGTTGCCATAGGTGTAGTCTTCCCGCAGAAGCAGGCAAAGTTATCAGCAGCAATGCTGGGTAGATTACTTAAGAAAAGTAATCTGTACTGATTGCAAATTACATGATTAAGATGTATCCATTTAAACTTATACGTGCAAGTGTCATCCAAAATAACCTAATACTGATTACTTACTGATAAATAAAGATATCAAGTCAAAATTGTTCACAGTAGTGGTGGAACCAGACGTCTGAAGAGTTTAATGCCTCTAAAACTTTCCTCGCATAAAGTTTTTACATGAAATGCTGACATGTTGCCTGAGTTTTACAATGGTTTTGCAATAAAGTTTTGGCCTGAAAATTATTTTGTAAAACATATTTATGGCAGAGGAACGCAAAATAGAGGGCAAAATAGCACCCAAAGGAAACATATTGTTTTGGATTTACCACTATTTTAACATTATCAACGTTACATATAATAATTCAGAATACAGTGTAGGTTCACTGGTTGTTTTGAATAATAAATAAAATGACTATATTTGCATCATGACCCCTGGTTCCTATCACCATCATCATCATCATCATCATCATAAAGAAAATCTGAGTTGGTAGGTTTCTTTACAATGACCCATTTCATATAAAACCACTCGGAATGACTTTGTTTACATCTCAGCTATTGAATTATGAAGAAATTGTAAAAAATCAGTGAAAAACACAATTATGTATGAATCGATGCTGCTGAAAACACTCACACTCCTACAAATATTACTATTATCACTGCTGTTACTTAAAGTGAAAAAAAAATATATAGCAGCAACAACAACACTGCATGCCGGCAGGTTGTGGCTGAAAGTACTGTACTGCACCCCTAAAGCTTACTGATGTGTGACTGGTGTGACTGTGTGTGAAAATGAGGAAGAATCAGCTTCTGTTGAAAAGCCAATGCACAACAGCAGCGCATGCTGAAAGTTCACTCTGGGTGTGTGGGAATTTTGACCCATTATTGAACAAACTTCCCTAGAGGGGCACTTGAATTTGAAGACCAGCCCATTTGCTGCTGGAAATTCATGTGAGGTTTTTGCCCCTGAGGTTTTGTAACCTCTTACCCGCTCATTTTCCATCACATCAGCACTGCTGTCAGACTGTACATATTCTTATGAGAAGGTTTTGCTTCATGAGCAGAACCCATTCATAGCTAGAACCTTGACCACCTCCACCATCTTCATCCAAAAAAACAAAAATATGTAACAGAAATTAGCCACTTATCTATGTTGTAGTTTGTGGGCGCAGTTAGTACTTTAGGAAAAAGAGAGTCAACACTCATCAGCGCTCAGAACTTTGCAATTATGCAATTGTAAAACAATTGTCAGTGCATCTTCATGCTTTTTTTTCTATACAGGATTTCTTTTTTTCTCACTGTGTGACAATTTGGTTTCCTGATACATTTAGTCTGTTGCTATGAAATACAGTGCCATTGCTTTGGTATCCCGGGTGGTTGCTAGTATGCAACTTTATAAACACTGTAGGGGTAGTGTGAGAGATTTTTTATGACATCATTTGTGGCAGTTAGATTGTAATTTTCTTAAAATTTCACCATTCTTTTTCTATGGAGAAAAAGTTGTTTGAACGAATGCTGTACAAGAACTGTACATGCAGTTGGTCCCAAAGGCACAATGCTTAGGCTTGGGGCCAACGACTTTAGCCTTGCCAAAGTGTGTATTAGAACATTAAATCAAAGACATTAGTTAAGTTAGCAATGTATGTAGTCTAAGTGAGTTTAATCCACCGACAATATTGTACTTTATTTTCAAATAAAAAGCACATTGTGCTGTCAACAACTTTGCATCAAGCTTGTGTTGTCTACGTAGCATGAACTGATGATGTAAAAACAAAATCACACAATTGGCATGCAGTCTTCTGTCTTAAATGCATTAGTTCACATGCATGTGTGTGATTTTTTTTTTAATAAAAGCATTAATAGGACAGTGAGAAGACTTGGGAGATGAAGAACTTAGTGTACTTATGTGTTACAGTTAATTACCTGTTTATTCATTTACTGAATTATCACTTCATTTTTCCTCCATTGTACAGTCTTGTGTGGAACACAGTTCTTGGGCTTTACTAATCACTTTCCTTCACCTCTACATATTCAGCTGCCTTGCCATACTTTTTTTAATATTTTGACCATTAATAACTCTTTTCTTTTTATTGCTCTGTCTTTAACTTTTCCTTTATGTGTCCCTCCAAGTAAAGTGGTAATCTTTGCCACTAATTTTACTATCAACTCATGATTAAGACATGACTAGTTACTGATATCTTAATTGCTTTTAACAGTGCTGTGTAAAAAATAGAGACTGCCTTTCATTTATATAACTTCCAGTTAAGCAGTAAATAGATATTTAACAGAAAATTACACAGAGGCCTTTTTCAGTATTTCATGAGTATACTTTTTTCCTTAATTGCAGCTTACATTCTTTGCAGGAGACTTACTTTAAGTTTTGAGTTAAGAAATCAGCAGGAATATTTTTCTACATCTCCAAAGTTCAGTCTTAGAAGTTGGTTGTATTTTCTGCTTTTCACAATACAAATTGATGGAATCTGTGGATTTTTTCAGCTCTGAAGTAGGAGTTTAGTTTGATTTTCTTCTCTCTCTCAAAGATGAATTTTTAAGTACTGTTTATCTGATGGGGACAGTTTTGGTGGTCCACCAGGTCTTGCATGGTTGTTTTTTTGAACTTCATGCTTTTTCACTTATTTTTCTATTTTTCCCCTTCCTTATATAAGCACATTATCTTGTATCTAATCTCCTCAAAAACATCTTCTGAAAAATGAATCACTTGACTGTTTTGACTGGAAATTTACCCCTTAAATAGCCAGGGCCCACCAGCAAGCCCCAAGTTTTATTGTACACTTCCATAACCTAAGAATGTGTCAACGAGTTTGCACTGAAGTCCCTGTAGTTACTAAATAATAAGCCTTAGTGTGTAATACGCCTGGGAGTTTAAGGCCT